CTGGCAGGACTCCGCAGCAGGAAGGGTACAGAGGCATCTGAGCACCCTGGCTGGCTGTCAGCACTCCCAACCAGCCGGGCAGCTGCACTTTGTCTCTAGGTTCAGCTGCAAATTGCTCACAAGCATCCTTGTGGAGAAGGGTTACTTCATCAGAGCCATTGTTAACGATCCCCTGCTTCACTCTGGGGAAAGCACTGGTGTGACACCTGATTTTTGAACACTCAAATCATTCGACTCCACAGAAGTTTATTTTCTCTCTTTTGCATCATCTTGATGGGGGGGGTGGAATCAGATCCTATTGTATCCGCGTCAACAGCATTCCACGAACAATGCAGCCATGATAGGAGCAAACGCTGGCTCCTCTTCAGACACTCCTGCTGATGAAGAACGATTGCAGTGTGAGATATTGAAGAGCTGTTGAGACAATTGTACTTTCGCTCTCTTAAAAGTATACTAAAATTAGCGTATACAAACCTGACACCCTTCCCCACACTCTTGCATTATTTCTGGCTTTTTTTTTTTTTTTGTTTTACAGTCTCCAGATAAGCATGAGCATGAAATGAAGCTGGTCTGTTTCGGTTTTAAGATGTGAGGCAACAGTGTTGTCTGTCTTCCCACAGCAACAAGGGAGTATTTCAACTTTTAAAACACAGGGTTCGATAATTGTGCCTGCTCCATTCACAATGCACTCTCTGTTGTGTTTTGTTTGGGCTTTTTACTGGAGCTCAACATTGAAGCTAAGCTATTTATCATCCTCCTCCTTTAAAATGACTGTTCCCAGTCTATGCGCAGTCTCATTTTTCCTTACACAGTGTTGGTGTTGAGAGGACATTCCTCCCTCATGAAAACAAAGCGTTGGGTCCCCTACTTGCAAATACACGTGCGTCTCTGAAGAAAAACCTGTGTATTAAGTAACACTTCATTTATATTGCAATATTTTAACCTGGTACCTGTTGTTGCTACAGCAGCATTCAATGTTTCAGTGGGCTGCCTTCGAAGCAAGTAGGTTACAACATGGGTTATGTGTGAGTACAAAAGTGTGGTCTGTGTGTGTAAGTGAGTGTTTTGTGGGTGAGTGTTTGGGTGTTTGCACGTGCGAAGTTTTCCTACCAGTGAGCGTATGTGAGCGTTTGTAACTCACGTTGAGTCTTGTCTCTGGAAGTTCACGGTTATATATCAAACCAGTTAGAACACTGCTTTCTTTTCTCTCCTCCTATAGTACTTGTTATCCCTTGTCATTAAGAGTTTTGTTGTAATATCTAAATGTGAACATGAATAAAGTCATAACTGGCAGCTGCTCTCTGGTTCCTGGAGGCCGCTGCTGCCCGCGGGTGCTGCAGCGCTCGGCTCCCCACACAGCACCGGGCAGCCCGACTCTGGCCCAAGCAATTAGCACATTTTGGTTTTATTATTTTTTACTTTCGTGTCCCTTTTTGCATTTCCCCGCATCCTCTAGGAAACAGCTGGCCTTTGTGGCATTTCCATCCAGGATGAAACTCGGTCTTTTCTCATGATGAAGCCGGATATGCTTTGGTTAAACTTGCTGACAGGAGCCGGCGGCTCAGCGCCCAGCCCTTCGCCCCGCCGCCACCTCCCCCAGATCCCCGACCCTTCCTCGCCGCCTCGGCCCCGGGGGTCTGGGATCCCCCTGGCCCCTCTCGCCCTCCTTCACCACGGCGGGCTCCGAGAGGGACCGAGGGCGGCGGAGCCCGCACCCCGGGCCACCCCCTTCTCCTCAGCGGGAGGAGGGAGGCGCGGCCGAGCCCCGCAGGTGGCGCCCTCAGCGCGGCGGCGGGCCCCGGGCAGGAGGAGCCCCGGCGGGAAGGTGGCGGCGGAGCTCGCAATGTGAAACCTGACGGGAAAGCGAAGGGCGGGTGGGGGGCACGGGCGGGAGCTGGGCTGAAGGAAATGCTCCGTGCCCAGGGAGCCCTGTAGATGGAGCATAAATGGATTTATGACCATTTCCCAAGAGAAAAAAACAAAACAGGAGCTGGGGGTAAAACCTGAGGGACGCTCCGTCCTTGCCTGCGAGGTGTGAAGCAGCCACAAGGACTCTCCTCTCTTCATCCAGGGACCTGCCCGTCTGGGGCGTGAGGGGTTGAAGCTGCTCTGCTCATGAAATACCCCTTTTTTGTGGCCGGTTGCTCCTCTCCTGCCTCTCTCCAGCCCTCGGACGGGCTGGGAGGCAGGAGAGGAGCAACCGAGCGCTGGTGGCCCCGCCATGGCTCTTGCTCCGTGAGGAGGGACGGGGGCCAAGCGGGCAGCCCTCCCCAGGGAGTCGAGCATGGCAGACCCCCGATCTCCGGCAGAAACGCAGCCCGCAGGAAGCCAGACAGGGCAAAATGCAAAAACAGCCTTTTCTTGTGGTTAGAAAAGGAAACTTGGAAGTCACCGTCTGGGCCCTTCGGCTTGTTTTGCTTCTAATATGGCCAGCGAATATTTTCTCAGTGCTTTTCAAAAGTGCTTTGAGATCTTTCTCCGAAAGGCGATGCAGAAATAGCAAGGAATCCTTCAGCCTCTGAGTACTCCCTGGCCTCTTTTTGCATCAAAACGATGCAGAGCTCTTAGTGCTGACAAAATCAAACTACTCCAGTCTGCACCGCAAGAATGACGGCTCCGAAACATGTCCTGCATGGTGCGGTATCGGTGTGTTTGCCACAACTCTCACCCTCTGGCCAGGGTGAAAGTTTGGGTGAAATGTTGAGGGGCCACTAACGGCATGTGGTTTCTCACCCAGGATTTACCAAGAAGGGCAGAATTTAAAAAAAAAAAAATAATTAAAAAGTGGAAGCGGAACATTCAGCTGCTGCTTGAGCAACATTTCCTGAGTTGTACTGACATTTCTGGAGAGCTTTTCATCATCAGCTTCTCCAAGGATTTTACGGAGCCAGAGGCTACACGCCTTTAGCAGAGCCCATAGGTCCATTCTGCTCCGAGATGCAGGTTTGCAAGCCTGCCGCTTCCCTCGGGAACGGCGCGGGTCTCTCCGAGGGCAGGATCAGACCCACCGCTTACATCTCAGCGAAATAAATAGCCTGCGCTTTGATGGTGTTACCTTCCACGCGTATGTGACCAGCTGCATCACAAATGGACAAACTACAAAACCTTCCAAAAGAGAACAGTTTAATGAGATGCTTAGGTTAAACCCCAGGCTTATCGGAGGGCCTTCCCGAGCAGCTGGGCAAGTCACCAAGGAGACCATATCTCAAAAAAACAGCAGCACAAACGGTTGTTCAGAAATTTAGAAACTATTCTAACCCACAGCCCTGCCCTACTTGTTTGCTTTGCCATAAATAATTTTCAGATAGTTTGCCCTTCAAAATCTGAGAAGGCCATTATGTTTTATCTCCCAAGAGGCTGAAATCCTTAAAACTATTATGTTAGATAGGGTAATTCATCAAGTCCTGTATTACAGTATTTCATGGTATTCACGTTTATTAACATCGTTTGAGTGTTTGTAAGGCTTCCCAGTTTAGTACGCCAGAAGTGAGTAATGCCGAATTGGGCAGGAGTGAGGAGATCCTGACACGGAGGCTGTGCTCCCGCCCCAACAGCCCGTTCCGCGTTAACCGGACAGACCAGACCGCACACACCCCTTCGCACACACGGCCCCTTTTCCCCCCATTTCAGACACGCTTTTAAACCGCCTCCTCTATCTTTTCGATGGTCAGCACTCCCCATCTGGAAATCACAGACGCCGAGGCGTCATGGGAGCCCGTAGGTGTCCCTACATCTAATTCTCTGGAGAACTGCGGGTCGCTGGAGCCAAGCGTTCCTTACAGACGCCGGTGAAGCAGCGGGAGAGGCCCGGGCCGGGCACCGGCTCCCCGCG